AATGATGCATGTCTGCCAAGCTCTAGTAATGATGGATGGAGTCATTAGCATTTTAGTTTCTACACTGAACCTGAAGCCAAAGCATATGGTCTGACAGATGTTCCAGCAATAGGCTCTATTTGATTTGCCATGTAGGTGTCCACTTATACTGGACCTTCACGAAAGAATACTAATGTAAACGTTACAGTCCAACCCGAGTTTCAACCTTTTCACATCCTCAAGTTTTAAGGTGTTCTTAAAAGCAGAACACTCAGAACATGCCTTCTTCTATATTTCAACTAAGAGTAATGATTACAAATTATCTTTGAACCTAATCAAATCAATTCACATGGACAAGATGGACAAAAATGCAAGTAATGTTTGTAGGCTACTGCCATCTATGCCTTGATTAATACTTCCAGGAAGTGGGTTATTTGACAAAATGTGTCATATATTCACTTTTTCCTCATTCATGTTTTATTAAAATGTATATACATGTAAATTGTATATACAGTGAATTGGACAAATCTTAATCTTGACAAAGGCATGCACACCCATAGACCCAACACCTCAACCAAGATATATGATGTTGACATTACCCCAAAGGGCTTCCCCCTCTCTACACTTCGAGTCAATCCTTTTTTTCTACAGGCGACCATTGTTCTGATTTCTATCACCATAGATTGGTTTTATCTTTTCTGAAACTTACTATTATATAAATGAAATCATAAAGTAAGCACTCTTATGTCTGTCCTTCTTTTCAAAACCGTAATGTTGCGGAGATTCATCTATGCTGTTGCATCTATCAGTAGTTCATTATTTTTGTTGCTGAGCAGCATTCTATTGCTTACATGAACCACAAATTGTTTATCCACTCTCCTGTTAATGGGTATTTAGGTACTTTCCGATTATTGGTTATTATAAATAAAGCTGTTATAAACATTCTTGTACAAGTCTTTGTGGCACATGTCTTAATTTCTCTTCGGTAAATACTTAGCAGTGGAACTGATGCAACATATGTTAGTTATTTGCTTATATATTTACTTTTTCCTACAATCACTTTATCTACTATTCGTACTAGTAAGAATTACAGTAAAAAGCACATGACCAACATTTTTAACCTATAAAAATGTACAAGCTAACTTTTGTTTTTCCTGTGTGAAAATTATGTGACAATCCTCAGGAATATAACCAATGTTCTTATTATTTCATTTCAGTATCAATTATATGGTAAAATTTCATTTGTGATCTAATTTCCTATAACCCGAGTTTTACCTAATCTCTTACTGTGTTTAATTTACAAATTCAACTTTATTATAGGTATGTATGTGTAGGTTTGGCACTATCTGCAGTTTCAGGTATGCTGAGTATCTTGGAACTTATTCCCCGTGAATAAGGAGGGGCTACTGTCCCATTAAAATGGCTTAGTTGTAAAATATGTTGTAAGAATTGAAAAAACATCTGTTCAATTAGAAAAATGTACAAATTATTAAGTTGACAAAACTTGTTAGGTGTTTATATATAGAATATATGTTACTTCATTGAGCTTTATGATAGAAAAAGAATCTGGAAGTTCTTTTAAGAGTGACTAAAGACTTTATTCTAAGTTTCTTTTACTACACAAATGTATAACATACTTTTTTAAACTATGTTTCAGAAAGCTTCACAATTTCACCATATTTATAGCTTTTTGACACTCAACAGACTTCTAAAAAACTTTCACCCACATTGTTTTATGTGTCATTAGTTCATTTAGCATGTACAAGAAGGTTGATCTGGGTTGTATATATCGCCATTGTTTTCTATATATTTAGAGCGAATAACCTACATCAAAGACACTGTAACTACATAATCTGATTCTGAAAGAAAGAACATTCCTCTAAAGACACTTCCAGAACCACCATATGTGTTATGAATTATCCTAGATTAGCTTAGGTAACTCATTAAGTGTTTGTGGCTTTTTTCCTTCATTTATAATTTACCTAATTTGTATGTCATTTTAGACAACAAAAATGATTAGAATATGAATTATAACGTGGAAACAATAGACAAGTGAGAGTTTATTCTTTAAATGTATTTCCATATACAAATTTTAAATATCAAATATGATCAGGTATTATGTTCAGTACCTTTCACAGAGTTTTAGTGTATCATTTTTCCTTTAAAGTAGAAAATTGGCCACTTTTCTAGTTTTTGCTACTTTCCCCCATATTTAGACAATATTTTACCAATTGAAGCTCAATATTACACAATGTAAGTTATTTGGAGGACATAAAAAGTTGATTACCATTTATTATTTTACCTGACCATGACAGGTATAACAGCTACTCTATTATTCCATTACGTCTGTGATAGACTACAGTGACCTTTCATTGAGTTGCTCCAAGTACATTCATTCTTAATACTCCCAGCAGATATTTTAAGCATTGTTCTCACAATGATACTTAATTTAAGGGACCATTTTTTCCCCATACAAAACTAATAACAAAAAAATTTTATATTCTTCCATCAAACAAAAAGGTTATCAAGGCCATGTTTCAGGCCATCAAAAATAATGTAAAGATCTAGTTTAGTTTAGTATCTTATAGCTGGAAGGGATTTTAGTCTCTATCCAGTATCTTCTTTCACAGATAAAGAAAACTGAGGCCCAGAACAGTTCAATGAAATCTCTAAGCCCCCCAGTTAACTGGGTTAGAAGGGTTAGGAAGGTTAGAATTAAGAACTGGGTTTCTTGAACACTCTAGGGTGTTGTTCTACACCGAATGAAAATAACTTGGCATCTATTCATCTATTCTGATTCACTGTGAAACCAGAATTATTTCTGTTTTATTATGTTTTTACTACTTTCAGCAAAAGATGGGTAAGTTTTTTAAGTCGCTGCCACTTTCTGATTAATTGATCTATACATAATGACCAATCTTATCTGATTCATTGTTACATGGTATTATTATACTATAAAGAAGATTTTTTTTATTTCAATTTAAAAACATCCCTAAGTAACTGATAGGTTTCAATATTTCTGGAACATGGAGAATAATAATTAAAGAGAATAAGTTAAGGTAATTTATGTGTTATTATTGAAAGAGGCAGAATAGCTTTTAAGTAAATAAGGCAAATAAGTACACTGCTGAAGAATCGCGCAATGTCAATGTCAAAATTGAAGAGAAATACACAAATTCACCTTTTTGTAGCAAATACAAAGAGAAGGAAGGGGAGGAAGAAAGCAGACTAGAAGTCCAAAGAAATATTTTCTCTCTCTCATCTTTGTTTGAAAAATGTCAGGAGAAAATTTTAAGAAACCATCATGAAATGGCCAATCTACAAAACAAGAAACAAAAAATGAGCAGTATTTTGACTGCAACCCACTCAGACCAGCAGGGTCCAGAAAGTCTTTGTTGCCACAAGGCAGCTGGTGACTGAGGATACAAAACCCTTTTTATTTCAATGTCACATTAAATCCTGAGGCATAAAACCAAGGGCAGACGACAGATCCTCTGGTTCTCCAAGAAAAGACTACACAGCTCATAAGAAAAGCCAAATGCCAACTAATGTTCCCATCTAAATGAAAAAATAATTAGCAAAATAATTAGAAAACATTTCTAATATCATTTTTAAACTATTTAGGTGGTGGGAGGGGGTGACTTGATGCTTAGTTGATAAGACAGGCTGTACATTACACAATATACACTCTCCAAGAAAAATTATCCTGTATTTCTGCATCTGTAGAGGAAATTAGCATATTTACAGAAAAAAAGGGAGCCTCATTTTCTTTTCACATTTGGACACAAAAAATGGTATCCTGATACCTGCAAATCAAATAAATGATGAAAAGTAGTGATAATGAGATTAATATGAAATACATTTGTTAGAACCTCCAACTGGATTATTGCAGGTATTAGATGAAACAACATACATATAACAACTAGCACAATATCAGACATTATACTAAGTATGATTTCAATAATCATTTATTATAACCATTACCTCAAACACCTGCAAACTAATGATTATCCTCAATGCTATCTTCACCTCTCTAAAGGATATAATAAAATAAATCTTCATGTCTATGTTGAAGAAACTAAGCTAATCTTACAGTGATTTTTCTTTTTGGTCTCTATTGGCATACTTAGGCATTTAAAATTCGAAACTAATTAAATCCCTTTCCTCATTCTGATGCAGAGAGAACCAAAATAATAATAATAACAGTGCTCAGAGAACATTATCACTTACATATCATTTAGCTTCAAGTATTTAACTCAACAGACACCTGTGCTAGGTCCAGTCTCCTGGCTTTAGAGCTGCTCTCATCTACTTCCAGCCCCCGGCACCGTATCACTGACCGATATACTTTCTGCAAATTCTCTGAAGACAAGAATATTCCTTAGTCTACAGTTTTCACTCTGATTCTTTTAAAGCTCTTTATATGAACCATTTACATTTGCCTAACATGTATGTTAACTTGCAATTAATTAAATACAAATTTATTAAGGACTTAGTATGTGCAAGGCAAATGTCTTGACCTCAGATCCGTGATTAACGCTCATACACGAAAATTCCGAAAAAATTTAATTGGCTCTCTTCCAAATCATATTTCCTGAAATACTCCTAAGAGTTTCTTAAAATACTTTTTAAAAATTTATCAGAGTATGACAGCTCCTGCTTAAGTACTATGCTCTTGTAATTTCAGTTTTCAAAATATTTTTAAATAAAAAAAATTTTACTTTTATTCATATTTTGAATGGATCTAGAGAAATTTTTTTCGCAGTTTGAACATAGCCTTAGAGAATCATTAGGTTTCACTAGATAATAACACAAATACTTATTAATTATACACCCTCATATTTTTTACTTACATTCCAAAAAGGGAAATCTCTAACACATATCTGCAACCAAGTAAATTAAACCCAAATGGACAGCCTGGCTCCCAAACACTGATAAGGATAAGACCACAAACAGCATAATTATAATTTGTTTAAAAAAATCAAGTGTACTCTTTAGCTTAGCTGCCAAGTTGGCCTTACCTGCAGCCATAACTTGTTATGCACAGCGTCTCTCCCTGTAGCAATACACTGAAATGTAGCATTCTGCCCTGCGTTGACCTCTACATCCCCTAGACGGAGGAAATGAGGAGATTTATCTGTGAAGATAGAAAAAAAAATTATTTTTTTTTCACATGAAGAAAATATACCATGTTACTTTATCCCAACAGAATACTGTTGGTAGTGTTTTTTAACTTTGGCCAAGACTAATATCATGCAGAAGAAAATTGAGGGGTTATTTGTGCTGGAAGACACCATTTCCTCTCTGACTCTCACAGTTCTCATTTTCTCAGTAGCTCTATTACTTATTGTCTTATAATTGCTAGAGTATTGTTCTATACAGGCTGAGCACTCAACAATTACCGCTAAATGGCTGCCATAGCATATAGCATAAGGGTGATAATAAAAGTTACAAGTTAAAGCAAGCAAAAGAGATTAAATAGGCACAAATCAGAGCATAATATAAAAATATAATGAAAACATACTATGATTTCCAAAATACTGACAGTTACATGGCTGATTAAGCTACAATTTAAGCAGTTAGATTTTTCTTTTTTTTTTAAACTTCAATAGTTATAACCCTTCAGCACTTCAAAGAATAAGGGAATGTTTTTGTTTCTTTCTAATAGAAAACCAACTAAACTGTTCATTAAAATGACTCCCTATTCCTTTATAGCTGTAGGAAAGAAGAAATACCCATACTAGAATAACAAAAAATGATGACGGTAGTTAAAATATACATGAGTTTTATGACTGTCAAGCAAATATTTATTCTCTGCAGTTACCTTTTAAAACTGAAGCCTCATCTATGTTTTCCATTGAAAGGAAATGTAATAGCAAAAGCTAAGCTGAAGTAAAAGAAAAGTTCATGGAGGAGCATATCACACTACAATTGTCGTTGTGCTCAATTCATAATTTTCTATTGATTTACTCATGAAAGCCTTTCTTTGACTTCTATCATTCAAGAAGTGAAAACAAAGTGCAGACAGAAACATGGATCTCTTGTACTATGGACTGAAAGAACTTAGTAAACTAACTTGAACTCTGAGTGAGATGATTTTGTTCTTTTCCTTAAAATATACCACATGGAATATACAAGTTGGCACTTGCCTGCTACATGTTTCTCTAGTGTCTTACTTCAGTAGGAGCTTTGAACAAAGGAACACTTGAGCTACAACATGAGATAGCACAGTGGTTCTCAAATGATAAACTCTAGACCAGCAGCATCAGTAGCATCTGGCAATTGATTAGAAATGCAAATTCTCAGGATACCCTCAGACTTATTGAATCAGAACCAGAGGAGTGACCAAGGAACCTGTGATTTACTGCACCCTGTAGGTGATTCTGATGCACGCTAGGGTTTGACAACCACTCAGCAGTAGCACAAGCCTTGGACCCTCATATGGTAGCCCCTGTATAGGCTGCCTACAATGTGTTAGAGATATTTCTACCAGGGAGGATTACTGAACAGATAATCCAGAATTCATAGGCCCTATTAAATACTGCTGTTGGGAAATATAGGTAATGTCTGAATTTATGCCAGCTGCTTTTTGGCTGGTTCTATTAAGCGTATGCAGTAATTGTCTTTCAGACATGTGATGTCAACACACATTACGGTACACCATTTAAAAACCAACCAATGTGCACCTAAAGGCATAACAAAACTATACACTAGTAACTTGAGTTTCTTGTTTTGTTTTCTATTTTTTAAAAAATATGGATTAACCAGATATTTATTATGACAGCAAAAAATTAAAAATAGTCCTAAATTTGGAATAAGGTGAACTAATTCATTCCCTTCATCTCGCCCCAACCCTCAACTTAGTATATCAAAAAATTTAGTGAGCCTTCTTTTTATTTTCCTATTGAACTCTAATTTGCTATTCTTTGCTTTTTTAGACAATTTAATATGTAAAAATAATGAACAAGTCCTACCAAGAGTTGCCTTTCTATTTATATTTTGTTCTCAGTAATTAAATAATTTAAAAGAATCCTTTAATGTGTGTACAATTAGTTACAAGTCAAAAAACATTTGGTTGAAAACTTTAGAAATATTTCAGTGTTCTTTTAAAACTCAACAGAAGGCTAGGAGTAGCAACAACAAAAGACAGCAACGACCAAGTGATAAACAATCAAGAGTCACTGCCAATATAAGACAAGTGTTGAAAGGACACAGAAAAATACAATTCTTAATCACAACCTACCACAAGGATAACTCAGTACTTGGATGTCATCAATGGCAATATAACCACTTCTCCCTCCTGAGACTTCAGCTTCAAATATTACCTGTCAGGGAGAAACAGAAAATACTTACAACAATCATTTTTAAGGAATGTCCACAGTGGGAGGAGAATAGCTATAATACACGCAAAAGGAAATTTGATTTTTGTTCTATAAGAATTAAAAATTTATAATGTAATTTCCTAAGCCTTATACACGCAAACAGAAGAAACATGAAGAACAATTAAACTACTGAGGTCAAGCAGCTTAATATTTTTAAACAGCTACTATCAAGTGTTGTTAGATTTCCTGGATAGGCAATATATAGCAGCAGAATGACTAGGCAGATACAGCAAATCTAGTATCTTTAAAAGTAAATGTCTCCAATTGACATTCTCCATTTTTGTTGTTTATTTAACATACATTGAATACCTACTATGTTCCAAGGAGTGTGCTAACCACTAAAGACATCAAATGAATAAAGAAATTATCTGTGCTTTTAAATAGCTGAATTTTCAAAGATGGAGGTCAACTGATCGATTTTTGGTATTCCAGGCCAAAGGAACAACATACAATGAAATAGTGTGGGACTGTATGTTTGGGGAATTAAATGAATGTAGTCTGTATGGCCATAAAGGCTCAAAAGAAAGGAGATGAGATTAGAGAGGTAGGCATGGAAGGCCTTGAATACCACAGGAGTAAGGTCAAGAGTATATCCATCCATTCAATAGTTTTGCATTAACAGAAGTCAAGGGGGAAAAAAATTTTCATGTTCAAATATAAGCTCATGTTATACAGTTTTGTTGGTGTAGTCAACAGCAAAACTTCATATGGCCTTTCTTTTAATAATGCGTGCTGTGACTTTCCGAGAGAAAACAGATTTAGTATTCAACACTTCAATATTGTATTTAACTCCTTTATTCATGAAGATACACAGATTATTTTTGGATTACCTTGTAAAGTACTTTAGAAAATGTAATACAATTGATGCTTAAAGAAAAAGTATAAAATAATCAAATTGGTCTAATATTTAATAGAAACATTGGGCTATCTTATATGATGGAAGATGGTCTGAAAGAAATAGAGTGATGGTTAATATGCCGGAAGCAGTAGGAATAGTGGGATAAAAGGAAAAAGAAAAAATAAAAACAATGCTAAGGAAGCAGACAAGATGTTGACTAATTAGTTTTGGTGAAATATAGGACGACTCAATGATTTCTACCTTGAGATATCAGGTGAATGACGCTGTCAGGATCCTTAGTCAGGACTACTGATACAGGAAAAGATACAAAGTTGAAGGAAAAGATAACTAAGTCTGTTTCAGACATTTCAAATTTGATTTGTCTATGATATGGGGGAAAATGCACAGGAGATAGCTAGATAGATCTGGAAGAGAAGAGATGGCTCTAAAGTAAATTCTGAAGTCAGCAGCAGCTACTGACTGGAAAGTTAATGTGATGGGTGGGTAACATGGCATAGAGAGATAAATAAGAGGAGAAAGCTACCGGAAATGGAAGGTCAAGAATGAAGAGACAGGCCGGGCGCGGTGGCTCATGCCTGTAATCCTAGCACTCTGGGAGGCCGAGGCAGGTGGATCGCTCAAGGTCAGGAGTTCGAGACCAGCCTGAGCAAGAGCGAGACTCCGTCTCTACTAAAAAATAGAAGGAAATGATCTGGACAACTAAAAATATATATAGAGAGAAAAAATTAGCCGGGCATGGTGGCGCATGCCTGTAGTCCCAACTACTCGGGAGGCTGAGGCAGAAGGATTGCTTGAGCCCAGGAGTCTGAGGTTGCTGTGAGCTAGGCTGACGCCACAGCACTCACTCTAGAGAGACTCTGTCTCAAAAAAAAAAAAAAAAAAAAAAAAGAATGAAGAGACAGCAGAATTAAAACCAACGCAGCATGATGATGATTAGAACATAATGGTTAAGGAAGGAAGAGAGGTTTCAAGCTGGTCAACACTCCCAACCAAAAGAATTAGAAAAGGCCAGGTATGTTACAATAATAATTTAGAGATATCAGATATCTATGCAAACAATGGCATCTAGATGCACACAAATTTTAGGAGCGAGCCTCTCCAAAGTTATATTTTAATCTACAGTCATTTTTTCCCCAAATGGAATATTTGCCAATTCTGGGATCAGGCTGTGATTCTAACTTAGCACAGTCTTAGAACCGCCAATGGGAGCAGATGTAATCAGTGAAATTTGCTGCAGTTGGGCAGAAACTGAGCGACAACTTGAAAATTTGGGAGGCTGAATTTAAAAAAAGATGTAGACCGTGGTAAATAATATCAAATGTAGGAGAAAGGTCAAGAGAAACTACAACTAAGAAGTTATCAATTGAAATTAACCATTCTCTGGAAAACTTTGCCAGGACATTTTTACTATAGTGGAAGAGGAGAAGCTTGATTGACTGGGCTGCTAATAATAATTCACATTTATTGAGCACTTACTATATATAATAGACTGTCCTAAGCTAGCATGCACATTCACACCTGTTTCTATGTTCTCCATACACACTAACATACACCTGTATAAACTCAATTAGCTGGGTGTGGTGGCTCATTCCAGTAACCCCAGCTCTTTGGGAGGCTGAGGCAAGAGGATCACTTCAGGCCAGGCATTTGAGATCAGCTTGGGCAATATAGCAAAAACCTGTCTCTACCAAAAAATTAAAACAGTAGCCAAGCATGGTGGTACATGCCTGTTGTCCCAGCTACTCTGGAGGGTGAGGTGGGAGGACTGCCTGAGCCCAGGAGTTCTGGGCTGCAGAGAGCTATGATCGCACCACTGCACTCCAACCTCAGAAAATGACTCTGTCTCTCAAACAAAACAAAACGAAAAATAAAACAAACAAACAAAAACTTCATTTAATCTTCAATACAATCCTATGAGGTGGGTATTATGTTCATCCTCAATTTAAAGAAAAGTTATGGGGCCAGGCATGGTGGCTCACACCTTTAATCCTAGCACTCTGGGAGACTGAGGCGGGTGGATCGCTAGAGGTCAGCAGTTCGAGATCAGCCTGAGCAAGAGCGAGACCCCATCTCTACTAAAAATACAAAAAATTAGCTGGGCATGGTGGCGCATGCCTGTAGTCCCAGCTATTCGGGAGGCTGAGGCAGGAAACTGCCTGAGCCCAGGAGTTCTGGGCTGCAGAGAGCTATGATCGCACCACTGCACTCCAACCTCAGAAAATGACTCTGTCTCTCAAACAAAACAAAACGAAAAATAAAACAAACAAACAAAAACTTCATTTAATCTTCAATACAATCCTATGAGGTGGGTATTATGTTCATCCTCAATTTAAAGAAAAGTTATGGGGCCAGGCATGGTGGCTCACACCTTTAATCCTAGCACTCTGGGAGACTGAGGCGGGTGGATCGCTAGAGGTCAGCAGTTCGAGACCAGCCTGAGCAAGAGCGAGACCCCATCTCTACTAAAAATACAAAGAAATTAGCTGGACAACTAAAAATATATAGAAAAAATTAGCTGGGCATGGTGGCGCATGCCTGTAGTCCCAGCTATTCGGGAGGCTGAGGCAGGAGGATCACTTGAGCCCAGGAGTTTGAGGTTGCTGTGAGCTAGGCTGACGCCACGGCACTCTAGCCCAGGCAACAGAGCGAGACTCCGTCTCCAAAAAAAAAAGTAAAGAAAAGTTATGTAACTGACCAAGGCCTAACCGCTAATCATTGCTGAAGCCAAGAATTGCCTGAGCCAAGCTACCTCCAGGTTGCTTTCTTCAGCTTCACCACACCACCTCCCAACATAAAGAAAGCAGACACAGAGAGAGTATTTCATTTAAATAGAATGCAGGCTTTAAATTTCCTTTAAAAGTCTAAAGTTTTAAGTAAATTTTAAGTTAAAAAAATTTAATGTCACCTTAAATAGCACACTGATTCAATATCATATTGACTAAACAGCAGTATCATCAGCATTAAACCCTTCCCATACTCATAACCAACTCTTACAACCACCCCAAAGCCAATAACAGTGGAACAAGGTAAGCTGGGAAGGATGGTTCATCTCCCCTCCATCCACTCCCACCATAAAACCTTCTCCTGTGTTACTTCTTAAGTTTGCCCTTGTGACTATTGATTTTACTGTAAGAAGTTGAACCTGAGAAGGAAGACAGGTTTTTTGTGGGAAGAAAAATGTTTCATAGTGGAAGGATGGCTAATCTATGAACACAGAAGTGTGTACATGTACATGTATAATTTGTGTTTTATATAAATGTATTAGGTATGAACACAAATGCCATGTCATTTTCTAAATATTGGAATATGGGCTTAGAAAGAAATAGAGACCAGAATTAAAAACTCTAATATATAACTGGAAGCAATTGTGGTATAGGCCACTTTCTTGGGATTGAAAAAAACCTGTATTTGACTCCAAGCTCTCCTATTTATAACTTTTTGAGCAAATCACACAGATTTGAGATTCGGAACTTTTAGAGCCAAGTCCTAACTCCATAATATGGAAACAACACAGCTTTCAATATAAAGTTTTATGAGGATTAAATAGTAGCATATTTAGTAAAGGAGATATATAAACTGAAAGGAATGATTATTGCATTGTTAATACGTGAAGTTTGCATAAGTGTATCCCAGTATAGAAAGAAAAAGTGATAAAACATTTTAGAAAAAAAATTATATTCTAATGAATAAACCACACATCTGTACAATGAGTAATTGTTAGTTATTTCAGCTTTGTTGTTGTCAATATTTGTTAAACTGCTTTAACTTCTAGCCTTATCTTGATTTTACTTTCTTAAATTAACTTCCTGTGCTTTAAGTTTAAACAAGATTACTATACCCCTGAGAAAAAAGTTGCTTATTTGTTCATTTAAATTGAGCTTTATTCAGGACAATAAATTTAGGCCTTGGCTTAAAAGGAGACAAAATGATTGGTTCTTTATTAAAGAAAAAAAAAAAGTTTCTCTTTTTAGTGACCTCATTTTCCTCGCCAAGTGTTGTCTTTGCCTCATTAACTAGAGCTAGAAAAAATTTCTAAGATCAGATACCTTTACTGCTAAAGATCTAATCAGCTTTATCACTTCAG